TCGGGGCCCCCGCGGGTCCGCAGCCCCCGGTGGTGGCTCGCGCCCGGACCCCGCGGGGCTGCGGATTTCGCCGCCTTCGGGCCTCGCGGCGCGGGCGGAGCGGCTCGGGGCCCAGGCTGTGGGGTGGCGGCCCCGCGGCGGGAGCGGCGCGCGCTCTGCCGGTGGAGCGCGCGGGTCGCGGGGGTCCGGCCGGAGCGCGTGGCCGCAGGTCCGTGGCCTCTGGGCAGCGGAGGTGCGGAGAGCGGCTGCGGCAGCCGCGCCGACTGCAACCCCGGGCTGCAGAACCCAGGGTCTCCGGGCGCGCGGTCCCGTCTCTGCGGCTCCCGGGTGCGCACATCCTTGGCACTAGCCATCCAGACCCTCTCCGTGGAGAGCCGGCTGCTGAGCGGCTCCTGCGGGGGGTGGGGAAGGATGCCCAGGGCAGCCCGCTTTCTGGCCTTCCATCTCCCCAGCCTGCTAGGCTGGTGGGCTGCGCGGGGACCACTGCCCAGGGCCTCCTGGCCCAGCCCTTTTCGTGGACAGCTGCCTTCCCTGGCTAGGACTGGAGGCGACGAAATGAGCACCCCGCCCCCATCCGCGCCCCGGCGCTGTCGCCCCAGTCACCTTCCTTTGCCCTTCTCCGACAGCACCTTGGACTTGCTCTTTCCCGAACTGGGGAAAATCTGAGCAAACCAGGCAGGGACCTTCGAGGCGCCGCCTGCATACTCAACAGCCTGGAAATTCAGTCCCCTTGGTATCTCGCTGCTTCCCAGACACTTTGGAGGGTCAGGTTTGCAATTTTTACCCCCATCCCCTGGCTCTCTCTCTGCTGAGGAAGGGAATCTTCTGAGAGAAGTTGGGATTTAGGCACCTCACAACCTTGCCCCAGAGCCCAAAGGGTAGCTCATAGATATAGCTAAAAGACATCCTAGCTATGTGTGAGAGGAACAGCAAAGCTTATCAATGAATTCCTTCCTGTGGGCAGCTTCAGAGTATTTCTTAGAAGACTGGAGACTCAGGAAAGCCATCTTTCCTGGCCAGTCATTGCATCTTTTGCTTGGCCCCGACTCTCTCCTTGCTGGGAAGAGACACATTTTGCTTATGACCTCTGGCTGGCCTCATTCCAATTGCTGTCTGGCCTTGGACTGCCCATCGGGACTATGATTCTTAAGACCTGACTGGGAGAGGACAGGCTCTTGTTCTAGTTGACTCTCACTCAGAGTTGTACTCTTGCCTGGGACCCGTGGGCTCCCTAATCCTCCTCTGGGCTGTGGCAGCACCTCGGCCCTTCACTCCTGCAAGGAAGTCGATTGTCAGACCACTTGGGAATGATGGTGAAGGCATCCCCCGTGGGCAAATGCAGGGCTCGGGAACACCCAGGAAACAAACAGGAGTGGGCGGTCTTTTTTAAAGGCTCACATGATTCTGGGACTAGGAAAAGATGGAGATGCCAGTGGTGGAAGGGAACCCTGTCAGGTTTCCTACCTTGGGTTTGGGATGCAGGACTTACTGAATTCCTAAGCAGTAAATACATTCTGGTCTTTAAACTCCTCACAGTCATCCCCTGCAGTGTAGATGTTGCTCCTGCCCCATTGGTAACTTTGAGAGAGCCCAGGTTCCCTGCCACAGCAGGGCAGGCACTAGGAAAAGAGAAAGGGCTGTTCTGAGCTTTAGAGGCATGTGCCCACTCTCCAGCTACATAACCAGAAACTGTTCTATAGGAGGGAACACAAAAGAAAATCACTGTCCTGTCCTAGTGAAAAGAAAGGTGGGAGTGGTGGGTGCACAAACAGCAACAGGAAAAATCATCTCCAAGATGGCTTTCCAGGCATTTCAGTCTTATAGCACTACTGTGCTGGGTACCACACAAATCAGGTACCCCAAACGGGGCCCTGCCTTGGGAAGTCTGCCGGCTAAGAGGCAGGGAGATACGGAGGTACAGTACATGGAAGCCAGAATTTAACTCCAGGCAGACAGGAGAAAGGAATGACCTTGAGAGGGTCCGGTTACCTTTCCCACTCTCTTGTAGAAAAATGTGAGCTGAATCGGGCGAGCACCAAGGCCTCATCAATTCTAGCCCACCAGTGGGGTGGGCTTGCCTGCAAACAGACTTGGGCCAGGTTGCTGTGCGTGCGTGGGATCCATTCCAGTCTCATTTACAAACTCGTAGTCAGTGAAATGTGATAAACCAAATACTGTAGGGATTTCTAAACAAGGAATTAAAAACCTCGACTTCGAATGGGAGAGATGCAGGCAACAAATCGTCAGTGTTTATGTGCCTCTGAATAGCTTTGATTTCCTTTCGTAGGAGCTGACAGCTGCCTGACGGAAAGCTCACCCAGGGAGAGAAGAGACAAAAAATCAAGTGTGGAATCGGGAATAATGTTTTCAGGTAACTTTCTATTTCCATCTGGAGTGGGTGTCTGGGAGGGCGAGTGTAGCTAGGTGTGTTTGGCTCCATTTGTCAACAGATATTTTTTCCCAAGGGCCCCTGATTCTAAGATGCCATGCTTTGCCTCTGTCTTCTGGTTTCCTGGTAACACAGCAGAGAGCTGGCGACCCCAGCTTCAGTCTGCAGCTCTCCCTCTGTCCTCACTATCTGCTGCCTCCGTTATCTGTGGTCTTTCTGATCAATTTGTTCACATGGTCAGTCTTAACTGGTTGTCAGCTACTTGGGGTGCGGAGAGCATTTGGAAATCCAGGTGATCTATCCACAGATTTTCAGACCATCCCTGCTTTTCATCCTGTGCCTCATTGCTATTTTTTTTTTTTTTTTTTTTTTTTTTTTTTGTGGTGGTGCTGAGACTACTGGGGCCCACAGGTCAAAGGTCATTACACCAGTGGCTCCTCACATGTCATTTACCGTTATCACTCTGACAGCTTTCCTCTCCTTTCAAAGCTTCTCTAAATTGTTCATAACAATTTTATAACACCTTTTGATAACACCTTTTCTCCAGTTGTTTTTTTGTTGTTGTTGTTGGAAGTTTATGCCTTTATGCCTTTAAACCTTTTTTTTTTTTTTTTTTTTTTTCTTTTTCTGGTTTTTTGAGACAGGGTTTCTCTGTGTAGCTTTGGCTGTCCTGGTACTCACTTTGTAGACCAGGCTGGCCTAGAACTCATAGATATCCTGCTTCTGCCTCTGTCTCCTGAGTGCTGGGACTAAAGGCGTGTGCCACCACCACCCAGCTGCCTTTAAAACTAAAAAAAAAAAAAAATAAGTTAATTTTGAGTGGAAGCTTACCAGCAAAGAAAGGCAGTGTAAGAATGTACACAGTGATGCATTCTAACTAAAGTTAAAGGTTTCTAGTTTTAACAAGGAGTGGGGATGGAGAAATGGCTCAACTGTTAAGAGCTCTGGCTTCTCTTCCAAAGGACCCATGTTCAATTCCCAGCACCCACATGACCCCTCACAACCACCTGTCACTGTAGTTCCAGGGGATCTGATGTTCTTTTCTGGCGCCGAAGGGCATCAACACAGACATTCATATACATAAAATAAAACTTAAAAAGAAATAAAATAGGGAGGGGTTTTTACACAACTATTTAAAAATAAATAATATTTAATAATTAAGCTCTTCTAATAACATAGGGACCCATAAGGAAATGATGAGCCATTACTTACAGAGTAAGAAAGTCATTTCCAATAGTGTGTCTGTAATTTAAAGTTATTCATTTAGTTTGTATATACTTGTGTGTGCACATGAACACATTTTTAATGTGTAGGGTGGCCAGAGGACACCCTTGTGTTTCAGTCAGTTCTCAGGCACTGTCTGAGGTATGTGGGCATGGTGTATACACATTCATAAGTGAACAGTGCTTGTATGAGAGCAAATGGAGGTTTGCAAGTACATGTGCCTGCTTGTGTTTGTTCCTGTGTGTGTGTGTGTGTGTGTGTGAATGCCTTCCTCAGTTGCTCTCCATCTTTTTTATTGAGGTGGCATCACTCGCTTAACTTAGAGCTCAGTGATTCAGCTAGTCTAGCCTCCCAGCTTGCCCGGGCTACGGTGGTGGGGGAGGGGTCCTCCTCTCTCCATTTTCCATGTGCTGGAATTACAGGCTGGCTATCAGAGTCACCCTACATTTATGTGAGTGCTGGGATCTGAGTTCTGCTCTTCACACTTGCATGGTAAGTGCTGTATGGACTAAGACGACTTCCTAGTCTTTAACCATTTTTGTTTTTGAAAATCTTTCATTAACTGGGAACTCACCAGGTCAGCTAGGCTAACTGGCCAGTGAGGCCCAGGGATCTACCTATTTCTGTTTCTTGAGTGCTGGGCTTACAGGCATGCACCATCATGTCACATTTCTTTTAGCATGGGTTCTGGGGCTTCAAACTCAGGTTCTCATGCTCACAAAATAGGTGTTTTATCCACCAAGCCCTCTTTCTAGCTCTGTTATTTTAAAAGGCCTTGGATTTGGGATGTGATCAAAAGAGAAGCTTAGGTTCTAAGACAAAATTCTTGAAAAGAAGAATGGATTGAGTAGAAAGCACAGCAGAAAAGCTTCCTTCTGGTTCTGTCTGATTTCAGCTGCATGGCCACCCAGTATAAATGCCGTAAGACTGGCATTCCTCAGATGAGGAAGCCAACCCTCCACGAGGCCCAGGCTTGACTAGGACATACAGCTAACAATGGCAAAGTTAAGATCCAGCTCTGGGTCTGGCTGACTCTGAACCTGTTCCAGATGAACTGTGACCTGCATGGAAGCCACAGGGACAGTGAAGAGAGTGTCAGAAAAGTAGAAAAGCCAAGGGGCTGACCGAATGCCCAGATGGCATCAGCCCTTGGTTCTCAGGACACTTCCCACAGGAGGAAAGCTCATTCCAGGCGGAAGAAGTGGTCTTCATCAAATACTCAACGGAAAGTAAATCATATTCAAATGCAGGATTTGTGGTTTACAGATCGCTCTGGCAAGATGAAAGGATGCCCCAAAGAGGGGGAAGGCTAATGACAGGATTATTCTCGTTAGGCAGTGGCTACAAAATGAGATGGTGGGAACTAATCATGGTCTCTGGGGAACAAAGTATGTGACGAAGTATTTTCAATTAAAAATCACTGAAGTATCAGCAGTATCAGAACGGTCCTAGGAAATGTAAAGTGTGAGCAGACTCAGATGCCGTTACAGTCCAGTGTGGAAGCACATGCCTATGGGTGTAGATACTCTGGAGACTGGGGCAGAGGATTTCTGGAGGCCAGGTGGTCGGGCTGAGCAACCTAGCATAATGTCAAAGGCGGGGAGCTAGCTCCTTCAGCTCGGTATTGACCACGCAAACGCGAAGACCTGAGTCTGGTCTCTAGAATCCACATAGATGGTACACACTTTTAATCTCAGCACTGGGAAACAGCCTCAGCCAAAGCCACAGGCTCCCTGGCTAGCTAACTTACCCTTATCAGAGACCCCCACATCCTGGTGAGAGAACTTATCTCACATAACAAGAGGGATAACTCCTGAAGGACACTGGAGATTGACCCCTGGCATGCCCCACCCCAGTCAGCATTCACCTACATCCACACGTAACAGTGATTTAAAAACAGAATTCAGCCCAGCGAGAAGTAAGCCTCCTGGACTCTGGCCCCCCCTTTTTTTTCCCTAAATAATTCTCCAGGCCCCTGGGAGAAGGTCTGTCATCATCTACGCAACAACAGAGGAGGCAACCAGTTGGTACCCTGAGTCCACAACATCCCCATTTCTGTAGGATGGAGAAGAGGCCACTACTTCTTCAGATACCCCAGTCTCTAGTTTATTGCCAGTTTTCTCTCTTAGAGCCTCCTGACCCCAGCCTTGGAGAAAGAAAAGTTGTGTGCGTAAGTGCTCAGATTTAGTGTTGTAGAGAAGGGCTTTCCGTGTGCGCGCGTGTGTGTGTGTGTGTATGTGTGGTGTGGTGTGGTGTGTTTAACTTAAAGTCTTTCCATCTTTTCACGTTTAAAAGTTCTTAGACTTAAGAATGAGAACAACCAAGTCAGAGTCCAAGTTTAGAAACTGTGGGAAAGTGTAATTTTGAAAGGCAGAGTGGGGCATGATGGCATAAGCCTTGAATCCCAGTACTCAGGATGGAGGCAGTCGGACCTCTGTGAGTTCAAGACCCAGCCTCGTTTACATTGTGAGTTCCAGGAGACCTTTTCTCAAACAAAAAAGGAGGTCAGTACATGGTAACGTGTTTTTATTTCAGGGTCTGTTTCTCAAGCATGACTTTGGCTTATGTTTTTTGTTTTTTTTTTAAACTTGTTTGTTTGTGATTGCTACTGTACCATTTCTTGGCTTGGACTTACTCAGTGCTTTCTGTGTTTGATATTATGTTCCTTTGCCTCCTAATTTCTTCTCATATTAAACCCATTTGTATATGAAAACTGCAAGAAAGTGGTTTCTTTGTTGCTCACTTGTAACTTTCAAATGTTTTGCTTCCAGAATAGACCTAAGAGGTGGGACCCACACTGCCATCTCAGTTTCTGCATCCCAAGTTTGAGGTAGGTTTTGATGGTGGAACAGCTTTTCTAGACTGTGACGATCAGGACATAAAACTAAAGCATTCGCTTTCCTTCAGGTTATGAATCTATCCCTGAGTGCTTTGCTGTGCATCATGGAAGATATCAAAATGGAGGCAGTTCGATTTGGAGTACTGCTTTTATGAGCTTATTTACGGCAATGCCAGTGGAGTATTTAACAACAAACACTATTAATACCCTGGGAGCTGAACTATGTTGTGAAAGGAAGGCCTCAAATGGCCTAACTTTGTATATCCTGCCACTTTCTGTATACAGGTTTCTATAATACTGTATGGAAGAGTGTGTGAAAATGTAGTTTTAAAGAGCAGAGTCCCAGTTGAAAAGTGGAGCATCATTGGGACTTCAGAGGTGTCTGGGTAACACTCCCAGATCACACTGTCTCCCTCCTCCACTAACGGCCACTGTCCCTTTGGATGCTCGTCAGTTATCCTCTTTGCTTTCAATGTTGTCCCCATTTATAACTGACTCCAAAGAAAAATAACTTTAACTATATAGCAAACACCAATCTAGACGAATGAAGAAAGAGTGGCGCTGACTCTACGTGGTAAAAGTCTCACAAGGCAAGTTGGTCTGGGGTTCATGAACCTTGCAGGAACCCCTCTAGGCAGGATCAGGATTGAATCCTATGATCCTTGGGGCCTCTGACCTGGACCTGGTGCAGAGCAGTGACTGGTTGCCCAAGGGAGTGGGGCTGTTTAGTCTCTCTCCCCCAAGCCCTCCAGGACTCAGTCCCGGGTGTCAGAGCTGAGGGAGTGAGCAGAGCTAAAGTGAGCACCACTTGGGGGGCACAGAAGCAGGACAGGAGGGGAACAGAGAGAAGTGTCAGGACATAGCAAGGAGAGACAAGAACTGAAGCCAGGTTTGTGTGCTTTGGTCCTTAGCTGACAGACTGTGGTGGGGTAGCCACCTTGAGGATGTCTGTAAACATCCATAAAGCTGGCAGGTCCCTCCAGCGTTTTCTGGGGGGTTGGGGTGCCTCTTCCTTGATCTTCAGCTTCCATATTCTTTGTGCTTTACTTTTCTTGTTTGCCATTTCATCTTGGTAGATTCCATCCTTCGGTTAATTCTTGAGACTATGTCCCAATTCTTGCCTGAAGGTTTGGCTAAATATAGAATTCTAAGCAGAGGGTCATTTCTCCTTCAGATATTTAAAGATGCTTCTGCACTGTGTCTCATTGCTATTGTTGATGTGCCTGAATCTATACTCATTTTTGATCCCTTGATATGTGACTTATCCCCACACCCAAGGACCCCTTCCCCTGCTATCAAGACAGTGGAAGCTTCTGGTCCGTGCGATGGAAACTCACAGGCATGTGTTTTGGGCATGCACTCTCTCACTCTTAGCACCACGCTCTGATTAGGTCTTTTCAATTTGATAATGCTTTCTTCTCCAGGCCTGGGATTTTCCCACACTTTCATCAACGATTGCTTCTCTTGCTACCCCTTGATATCGTTTCCTCGCTGACTCTGTGATAAGATTCTCTGACCAACAGGGATGTGGAGAAGGGTTTATGTGGCTTATACCTCCGGGGCGGGAGGCGCGGAGGGAGCATGGAGGAACTGCCTGCGGGCTCACACTGCCTCCTCACGGGCTCATGTGGGCTAGCTTTCTTACACATCCCAGGACCTGCTCAGCAATGGCGTGGTCCACGGTGGGCTTCGGCCTTCTGCATCAGTTACTAGTCCAGACATTCGCCCACAGACCAGACTGACCTAGGCAGTTCTTAAGTCTTTCTTAGGTGACTGCAGGCTATCGAGTTGACGGTTGATGGTGACTAGGGTACCATCTGCCACATTTTCCAGATTCTGGTTGGTTTGCTTTTCTTTCTTTCCCTGTTGTTACTTATTTTTGTGAGACAGGGTCTCTCTGTGAGGCTGACTTTGAACTTCTGGCCTTCCCACTTTTACTTCCCAAGTGCTGGGATTACAGGCAGGTGCCGCGAAGACCAGCTTTTTTCTTTTCTTTTTCCTTCCCTGCATTTGAGATTCTCATCACCACTGACATATTTTCACTGAGTTTTGCAGGTTTCTTTCACATTCTTTTGAGATTTCATGGTCCCTGACACTCTTGCTCTTACTTCAAGCTTATAATGTTTCTTACTTTGGAGGATACTGAGTTTTTGAAGTTTTTATTTTCCTAGCTACTGTCTTCCCCCTCCAATTTGCCTTTCTCTGTTTGCCCTGGTCTTTAATGAAGGGAGACTTTTCATTTGCTTTCAGGTTTTGTTTTGACTATTGGCTCATGGCGAAGGAGCCAGGTGAAGGCGGGAGCATGTGGTGATGCTTGTCCCCTGTGAGACTCATGGTGGAACACTCTGGAAACCTGTGAAACCCTGTGGTGTGCTCCAGGAAGATCCAGCTGTGGAGGGCAGACCTGAGCATCCTTCACTCTAGGTGTCAGTGCCAGTCTTTCTGCGGCTGTGTGGAGGGAGGGTAGACTACAGCTCTTTTCAGACAGTGATCATTCAGCAATCGCTTCTCTTCAGTCTGGAGACCCCATGCTTTACCATTTTCAGAGAACAGACCCCTGATGGCCCCAGCTATCACTGATGGCCTGGAGTTGGAGGAATCACCCTCTGTCCACATTTCCCCTAGCTTTCACATGCCAGCATTGCTCAGGGATCAGGGTGAAGGTGGGACTGGGGATGGAGTCTCCCATTCAGGGTGTCTGCTGCTGTCCAAGGCAGGAGCAGTGAAGGGTCTGCCTGCTCCCTGGCAACTTTTGACCTTCCCCCGCCCCTTATTTTGGAGCCCTGTGTAAAGCTTCCTGCTTTAAGGACACTGTGTCGTGTATGCGGTTAGTTCCTCGCTTTCTCGAGCTGGCTCCTCTGCTTTGAGGCTTTCAGAATGCTACTGCCTTCCTTGTTTTGTCTCTGGTTTTTTGACTGTATGTCTTTTTAAAAACTATTTCATTTTGGGAGGTTTCAGGAGGGAGCAAAATGAGTCGTGTGCATTTTGCCACGTAAGCCCTAACCCTAGCCATCTACAGCGATATTTTCCGAGTTCAGTCTGCCCCTAAACACAGAGCCTGTCATTGCAGATAACTGCAGTTTAGGCTTCAGCGTCTCCCTTCCTCTTTTGTCTACCTGTAAAAAGTATTTTTAAAAATGTAATGTTAATTTGAAAACTATTATTGTTGCGTGTGTGACGTATGCATAGATGCATGCTATGGTGTGGAGGCTGGAGGACAACTTCTGGAGTTGGTTCTCTCTTTCTCTTTTAGAAAGGTTCCGGGGGTTGAACCCAGGTCATAAGGTTTGCAGAACAAGTGTCATTACCTACTAAATTTCTCATTGGCCCCTTAATTTTGTTTGTTTGTTTGTTGGTACTAGGGACAGAACCGAGGGCCTTTCATGTGCTAGGCACATGCTCTATCTCTGAACTATGCTCCTAGCCCAATATTCTAAATTCTTACACAGTCTTCAAAAAGAAGGTTCAGTGTCTGGTTTCTGCAAACCCCATTGTTGTCCCTAAATTATTAAAGCAGTTTAAACCCCGCGAATCTTACTGTAACCAGCTCCATACAAAATCTTCCAGAGTCTCTTGAAGTTCCTCAGCACAGGCTGAGGATGCTGGTATCTTTGCAGCCCTGCCCAGAACCTACAGGAACATACAATGTCAACAACAAATTAATTTCTGTATATGCCTACTTTGTCTTTTCCTCCTTTGCGCTCTGTTCTCTTTGTCTGTTCTTTCCTTCCAGTAAGAGACCAGAATGTTAACCACCTACTCTATTATAAACAGAAATTCATGCCCCACAAATCTCAATTCTGTTTATATTTTTGAGGCAGGGTCTTACCCTGTAGCTCTCAAACTGGCCTTAAACATATTGTGTAGACCAGACTGATCTCAAACTCATGGTGATACTCCTACCTAAACCTGTCATGTACCAGGATTCCAAGAGTGACCCACCATGCTGGGAGTCACAGTCTTAGATTTTGAAATCAGTGATTAGCTAGTCTGCTGTGCTAGGTGGGTGCCATATAGAAATGAGCAACTAAAGTGACCTGGAAATATTTGTAGTTTTCATTTGTAAAAGGGTGATGCTCTGTATGAAATACGGAGCATCTTATCTATTTAGGCTTGACCTCAACAACTAAAAGCATATGTTGTAGTATATTTGATCCCATTATGAATCCCAAGATTGTGAACTGTAAAACCTTTCTTTTGTTTGATGTGGTTCAGCCATAACATACACCTTTAATCCAAGAACTTTCTGTTTATTGTGAACAGGTGACTATGGTGTGGTTCAGCCCTAGCACTCACCTTTAATCCTAGAGCTTTCTGTACACAGGATTTAATAAAGTTAATTCTTGGTCAAGAGGCAGAACAAGTAACCAGCTGGCAAGGGAGTAATAGGGACTTTGAGAGAAGGGCTTTTAAGACAGTGTGGAGAAGAAGGGGCTTTTGGAACCTTTGCTCTTTAGCACTTTAGCTCTCTCGCTCTTGGGCTTTTAGCTGTTGGCTTTTTCCTCCTGGGCTGTTGGGTGAGCTAGCAGGCTTTTTTTTCTCCTGGGCAGTCAGTCAGCTGAGCTAGCAAGCTTTTAGCTTTGGGCTTTTGACCTTTTTTTTTTTTTTTTTTTTTTTCTGGGACGTGTAGGAAGAACAACTGGGTGCTTACTCTGCCTCTGTGAGCTAGTATGTTTTCACCCCAGCATCTGGCTTCTGAATCTTCATTGGTAAAATCAAACGGTTGGGAATTTCATTTTTATAACAACAAGCATATGCTCTAAATAATGGAAAAAAAAACTGTAGCTAGGAGAAACTATTCTTCTAAAAATTATTCAGCTTATATCTACATACCACATTCATAATGCTAATCTAATCTTTGTCTCGTACTGTAAACACAGTTGAAAGACAGATTTTCTCTTAGCTCAATATAAAGTGATAATTATTACCCCCATAACAACATTATATATCGAGGGACTCTGAATCAGAGATGTGGAAATAAATCAACCATGTATTTATAGTATCAATGGTAAAAATTAAGTGTTTACATAGCCTGTGTGGCTCCCTTTAGAGATTTTTATATGTATACATAAATGCATGTTTTGCCTGCTTGCGTGTCTGAGTACCACTTGTATGGTTCCTGAGGAGGCCAGAAGAAGGTTTCAGATACCCTGGAACTGGTATTACAGTTTTGAGCTGCCAAGAGGTTGCTGGGAATTGAACCTGGACCCTCTGGAAGAACAGCCAGTGCTCTTAATGACTGAGCCATCTCCCCAGTTTCTTCTTTTTTAAAAAAATCATTTTCTTTAGGATTTATTTTTATTTCTATTTGTGTGTGTGTGTGTGTGCGCGCGTGCGTGTGCATATGCGCATGTGTGTGGTTTATGCGTTGGGTTTGGGGGTGCACAGACCCCTGTGCTAGTCCAGTCACACAAGGTGACTGGGAGAGGGCCTGCACTCTGCTTTCTGTCTTACATCCTTGAGGCAGGGTCTGGCATTAAGGCTAACTCTCCCGGCAGCTGGGCTAGCTGTCAGGGAGGTCCTGGAATCTACTGAGTCTTTGGCCTTTGAGTTACAGGCTCATGCCTGGCTTTTGACAGAGGTGCTACAGAGTCAAACTCAAGTCCTCATGAGTGCTCAGCAAGCTCTCTTACTTGCTGAGTCATTTCTCCAGCCCAATTTTTCTTTTTAATATTAATATTTAAAATATTTTCTTCAAAAGCAGAAAATAAATGATCTATTGTTAAATGTGAGATCTAGGAAAATAGTAAGCTGGTGCTTCGTTATTCAAGAAAGATTTTAAAGAAACGTTTTTAATTCCAAAAAGGTCATTATTATTCTAAAATTTATTTTTGCAATTAATGAGTCTGCTCTGCTTCTATTAATGACATAATCCTATGTATGTTCCCTTCACACATATTTCAGAAATAGACAAAATGACGTCAAGTTGGACATCGAGTCTGACTAATGATCTTCAATTTCTTTGATAACCAGGTATTGATTTCTGACTTTTGAAGATGGATGAAGGCTCAGAAGTTTCCACTGATGGAAATTCCCTGATCAAAGCAGTCCATCAGAGCCGGCTTCGCCTCACAAGACTGTTGCTAGAAGGTGGTGCCTACATCAACGAGAGCAACGACCGTGGGGAAACACCTTTAATGATTGCTTGTAAGACCAAACACGTCGGCCAGCAGAGTGTTGGGAGAGCCAAGATGGTTAAATACCTGCTGGAGAACAGTGCTGACCCCAACATACAGGACAAATCCGGGAAAAGCGCGCTGATGCACGCGTGCTTAGAAAGAGCTGGCCCCGAGGTGGTGTCCTTGCTCCTCAGGAGCGGGGCGGACCTCAGCCTGCAGGACCACGCGGGTTACTCAGCTCTGGTTTATGCTATAAATGCAGAAGACAGAGATACACTCAAAGTGCTCCTGAGTGCGTGCCAGGCGAAAGGGAAAGAGGTCATCATCATAACAACAGCAAAGTCGCCCTCTGGGAGGCACACCACGCAGCAGTACCTCAACGTGCCTCCTGCAGACATGGATGAGAGCCATCCGCCGGCCACGCCTTCAGAAATTGACATCAGAACAGCCTCGTTGCCGCTCTCTTACTCTTCTGAGACGGACCTGACACTTTTTGGCTTTAAAGATAAGGAGTTGTCTGGAAGCAGTGATAACGCCTGGGACCTGGACTCTCCTCGGAGGAAGCCTGGGATGGCCACTAACGGGCCCAAGCTATCCCAGTCTCCAGCCTGGATCAAGAGTCCACCGTCATTAAAGCACCAGGCCAGAGTGGCCTCCTTGCAAGAGGAGCTCCAAGACATCACTCCAGAGGAAGAAGTGGCCTACAAAACCAACACGCTGGCGCCGTCTAAGCGCTTCATCACTAGGCACCAGAGCATTGATGTAAAAGATACTGCACACTTGCTCAGGGCCTTTGACCAGGTCAACTCAAGGAAGATGTCATATGATGAAATAAATTATCATTCTTTGCTTCCAGAAGGAAGCCAGGCATGCATGGAAATTCCCACTGATCAGGACCCAGACTCTAGTCAGATCTTTGCTTCCACTTTAAAAAGTATAGTTCAAAAGCGAAACTCGGGGGCCAATCATTACAGCTCTGATTCCCAGCTCTCTGAGGGCGTTACCCCTCCGACCTTAGAAGACGGCAAAGCTGCAAGGAAAAAGATCTTCGCGCCATCACCTTCTTTGCCTTCAGGGTCCAAAGAATTAGTGGAGACTGTCCCTCCAGGCCCCCTGAGCAGGAGGAATCATGCGGTGTTGGAAAGGCGCGGCTCCGGCGCTTTCCCTGTAGATCACAGTGTGGTGCAGAGCAGACCCGGGTTTCTGCCTCCCTTACATGTAAATCCTCACCCTCCCATCACAGACGTCAGCACCAACAGCAAGATCTGCAGCTTGCTATCCTGCGGCCAAAAAGTGATGCCGACGGTCCCTGTTTTCCCGAAAGAATTCAAAAGCAAAAAGATGCTGTTAAGGAGGCAGTCGCTGCAGACGGAGCAAATTAAGCAATTAGTCAATTTCTAAGAGACAATTAGAAAACACATTATGTTCAAATGTCTGTATCAGAAAAACATAGAGAAGAAATCTTAACTGTATCCTTTTATGTCTTAGCTAATGCATCAAGGCTAGGCAGATCAAAATATAGCCTATTTTGTATTAGGTACTGTGAGCACACCTCAATATATAGCTTCTAGTGGAATTCTAACAAAATGAAAGCTGATTTTTTCAAAATGTCCAATATCAGCTTTCATGTGGTTCAAGTTTTCCATCTGAACAAAAAGTCTCCAAGAAAGAAAGATGCCTATGTTAGAAATGGTTCTTAAAGTTTTAGATTGGCTTCATGTTCTGTCATGAAACAATGTTCTCAAGTCAGTAATTTTGTCAACACTTTATGTCAACAAGATTGTAATTTTCCATGTTGCCAAAATCCTTAGAGAAAACACTGACATCAATAAAGCTAAACTACAAAGGAAGAATAAGCAGATTCTTTAAAAATGTTGACTCCAGAAGGTAAAAGTCTGATTTAGAAACTTTTAAACATGAAAAGCTAGTTAGAAGGAGCAACCACTGTTCATAATGGGTACGAAATCTACATCAAAATGGCAGATGAGGGCTGAGGTGGCTCACTGACCATGTAAGCCACCTGAGTTTGGATTACCAGAATCCGTGTGGCAACTAGACCCAGTAGTGCAAGAACCTATAACCCCAGCATTCCCTGTGCAGAAAAAGGAGGAGCAGGGCCAGGAGAATCCCCAGCATTCCCTGTGGGGAGATGAGAGGCGGGCCCAGAAGTTCCGGGCTCAGCCTGTCTATACTGAGGTGAAGAGACCCTGTCTTAGACAAGGGGACAATGGATGATAAATGCCGAAGGCTGTCCTCTGGCAGCCAGACTCCCCACCCTCCACCTGCAAGGGCAGGCCAGCAAACCATATGCCAGGTCCTTTTGTTTTTGCACCGTGTGTTGCTTTCAAACAAACTTACCAATCATGTTGTCTTATGGAAGTTATTCCTCTTCTTCTTTTTGAATATTTAATCCATAGGTTTCCAATATCAGAATAATATAAAAATTAGAAAGGATTTACCTTGACTTATTATTATTGTTGACTTTCCAGAAAGAGACACCCAAAATCGGGAAAGGGGACAAAAGTTTGGTATTGGACACAAATGGAAACGAAATGCTTGCTTCATCTTAAAAAAGAAAAACTGATTAATAGGTTATAGTTTAGCTTAGCTAAAATTACAAAAACTGAGTAGAAACTTAATCATAAAATATTACTGGGTCACTACTAAGCAATATCTTTATTTATGATATATAGTTATTAGACAGTCATATAAAGATAATTAAGATAGCAAGCATCCTTGGTGTGACAGCTGAATCATCTAGTATTTTAGAGTTTATGAATAACTTTTAACAAAGTATATATTATAAGATATTTTAAAAAAAATGATAATGTTACCTACATGACTTCAAAGCACGGTATCCAAAGAATTCTTCAGTCCAGTAGTTCTGAAGCAAAGACTAACTGAAACTCTAGAAAACTTAAGGGTGTGAGTCTAATGATGTCATCTGCAGCTTTCTTTCTTTGCCCAACAGGTGGCACAATGCCTTTCTTGGTAATTTGATATGAGCAATTTGAAATGTACATAGAAATTATTTATTTGTGGCTTTTATTTAAAAAAAATGATTTTCAGGTTTTCCATTTAATGTTTTGAAGAAAGTATTAATTACTTTAGAAATATTTTTATTCAGAAATTAAAATTGTACTGATGTTTACAAGTAGCTAAATTCCTTTTGCAAGTTTTAATATCATAAAAAGTACTCGACCTCACATGGTAAGGACACAGTTTAGAAGGGTATGTAAATAGAGTAAGTCATTATCAAGATGGTATCAATAAAGATTTAAAATATCATTTTGACTAAGTTTTATTTCTCCATAAAAAACTAACAGCAGATATTTCAACATAATTTCATGAGAAATTAATTATGCTATGCGTGTACTTTAAATAACAAAAAAGGGAATAACTTGTCTTCCCAACATGAAAACATAGTTTAACATGATTAAAATTTTGTTGCCAATCATCAGAATGTTTAACCTTCTGGCAAGCCTAAGCACATTTCAGATACCCAGCTTTAGAGTCTCGTCATAAAGCCGTTCCACCAGACTTCTTAACTGCACTAAATGGAATGGTGTCCCTGGGAGCCACATTGAGTCTCTCTCTCTCTCTCTTTCTCTCTCTCTGTTACCTTTATATTTGAATTTCATGTAGAGTTACAAAGATGAGTTTGACATTGCCTATCCAGAGAAGGCAGCGACTCCTGCGCAGTGAATCCTTGGTGGGCATGCACAGGCCAGGCATCTAGTAACAGAATCCTTTACAAATCACATTCTGTTCCCTAATAATCTGATTCCTGTATTTGCTTGGCAGAGACTGCATTTTTGAGGGTGATGGAAAAGTTTCTAAGAACACCAGAGATAGTAGATCAGTCAGCTGTACCACGCTTGCCCAGCTTCATCAGTCAGTCATAAAGAAAGATGAATATAAATAGATATCATCATGTTAAGCAAAGCTTGCTGGGCTGAGATAAACATACATTGTCACGTGGAATCTAAATTTAAATATACATTTAAATATGGCTATGATATGGGAATGTAAGTGGGACTATTTGGGGGAGGAAGGGGACTAGGTGGATGGGGAACAAGGAAGGTACCAGGGATTAGATATGAACAAAATGTGTGATATACATGCATTAAGATGAAGCCGGGACTGGCTCAGCGGGTTAGTACTTGGTGTGCAAGCATGGAGACCTGAGTTCACCCTCAGTGCTCCCAGAAAAGCTCAGCATGACTGAGCATCTGTCATCCCAGTATTAGCGAGGCAGAGGCAAGAGCCTGGGGGTTTGTGACTCGCCAGTCACACAAGCTCTGAGTTTACTGAGAGACCTTGTCTCAAAAAACAAATAACAATAAAGGAAGACATCCAAGGCTGACCTCTGGCTGGCACACCCACACACCTGTACATATAACACATGCATATAGATGTTATAATTGTTGGAAGGTAATTCCACCAAGGAACATGGATACTCATGAGGCTGTACTAGAAAGTCTATATTGCTGGCTGGCAACTGCCTGGGGAACTTGCCCAAATCATGCAGCCCCAATCCTCACCATTCTTTGTCTTTTATACACAAAAACCACATCCTAGTTGACATACTTTAGTTAGCAAAAACAGCAAGAAGTGAAACTATGAAGCCAAAAAAAAAAAAAAATCAAGGTTAGTATACTGAGGGACTTCCTGAAACTAAGAACTAGGTCTGTGCTGGGTTAGACTTTTGTTCCTGTGCTGGCAGTTGTAGGGGCAGAATGGTTCTTCCAACATGGCATCAGTTGTGCTAAGGTCTCAGGGCCAGTTACATAATGACACATCATTTTGTACGATGACTATGTGCCACGTAATTATTTAAAATAAAAGTAAATTTTAAGAGCATCTTTACCATCTCTTCCCCTTGCTTTTCCCCTCCTGGTCAACCTCGTGCTGCCCTGGGTGGTGCTAATGGTGTGGGCTATACCACCTACTTTTAGGAAATAGCAGTTTGAGGAGGTTTGTTTTGTTTTGTGTTGAGACAGGGTTCCTCTGTGTAGCCTTGGTTGCCCTAGAACTAGCTCTGTAGACCAGGCTGGCTTTGAACTCAGAGATCTACCTGCGACTGTATTCTGAGCACTGGCTAATGCTTTTCAGAATCAACTCTCCATTCCTCCCTCCCTATCTTCCTCTTTTCTCTCTCTCTCTCTCCTTTTTTCCTTCTCTCCTCTCTCCCCCCAACACTGTCAGTTGAGTCTCCCCACTTTTTCCAGGCTGACCTAGAACTTCGGGGCTTAAGTCATCCACCTGCCTCAGGCTACCAAGGAGCTGGGAATGCAGGCAATACTTCTGCTTGGCTTAAAATCTATTTTAATACAAGGCTTTGTCCAACTGGAAGCTGTGATTCTTAGGAGATTACTGACTGTGTCTATACGGCCTTGTTTAGTGCCAGCAGCCTTTCAGATCACATTTACCTTGTTTTGTTGAGAGAGAGTCTCACCGTATATATAGCTCGGCCTTGAACTGAAAACTCTTGTCTTAGCCTCTGGAAGGCGAGAACTACAGATATGTAACACTACACTTGGCTACTGTTTATTTTTGATGATTTCACGCATACATATAATGTATTTTTCCACCCACAGCTGGCTTTTGGATCACAAGTCCAAGTTTCTAGGAGGGTCAGAACATAGCAACTCTGTCAGATACGGTAGACTCACCTGTCAGCCCCCCAAGTTGACACCCTGTCTCTAAAACCTCTAAAAGTTTCCAATTAAAGGGGAAAGGGAGAAAGGAAGGCTGTGAAGGATGTACTGCAGGTAACAGAAACCTCGGAAGGCCTCCCAGTCTGCTGGGACACAAGGGACCAAATACACAATGAGAGTCCTAGCAGTCAGGAACACAGATGCACAGGGGTAGGATGGTCGATGACTGATGAGGGAAACGGACAGCTTCAGTCAGTCACCGCCTTAGTGTGTGCTGCAGCTGCCAACGGGGCTAGATCACATGCTTGGAAGATTAATCGGCGTCAACCACTGATCCTGTGCTCCTTAATCAACTGTGAAAGATCTGTTTCGAGGGATGACCTTTAAACCAGAACGTTCACATAAGAAGAGTTGTGATTTAAACTGAAAATGTCCCCCACAGACTCCTGTTCTGAACACTTGTTCCCCAGGCTGGTGGCACTATTTTTGGGGGCTGAAAGCTCTTGGAGGTGGGGCCTGACTGGCTGAGAGGTCAGTTGGTGTGCACCCTTGCAGGGTGTAGTGGGGCCACTGGTTCTGGCCTGCTTTTCACACCCTGCTTGCTGTACGTGAACAGCCCTGGCCACACGCTTCCACTGCCATCCATCCTCCCAGGGAGGACCGAAACCATGACCCCAGAGGAAATTCTCTCTCCTCAAGTTGCTCTGTAGGTGTTTTGTCACATTGATTCAAAATTAACCACTGCAAAAAGATTAAAAAGTTGATAAGAGTCTGGAACATATTTAAAAGTAGATAAAGAAAAGAAAGTCTTTAGCTCAAGAAGGCTCACTTGAGATGAGATGGTTGGCCTTAAATACTGAAATGAATGCTGAACTGACTTAGCACAGACTCTTTCAAATGAAGTAAAACATGACTAAAAAAATGAAACTCCTGGAAGAGTTGCTCTGTGGCTGTCAATCCAGGAGAAGCTTCTGCTGGGGAGACAGAGGGTGCCATTCCAAGAAACACACAAAGGAGGTGGCTGATGTCAGACATTCAGCAAGAGTGCCTCTCCTGGCGTGGTCTTGGAAATTGTTTCCTTGAGATTGTCTTTACTTGTTAACAGTTCTAACTAGGAAAAGTTGAAAGCAGACTTTGGAATTTCAGTCACGCACACAGCTTTTTGTTTTGTTTTCATGTCCACTCAATGTTGGTTGGGACAGCGCAAACATTTCCATTCAAATCCATTTCCTCAAACTGAAAAGCACTTATCAGTTTACTCCTGCAACTGTGGGTCCTCACTGGTGCCAAGAACTTGGAATAAAGAAAAAACCTATCAGTTCTGAGGCGGAGGCTCAGGTACACACTGGCCAGTGCGGACGTATGTGAGTCTTCCCACAGCAGGTAGCCACGATGGAGCAGGGAGGTGCTGGAATGGACCTCAGTGGGTGAAGCTCCTAAATGACCATGGCCTGTGATAAAGCAGGTTATTACAGTCCCCTGCAGTCCCTGCAGGTGGGACTGCCAAGGCCACAGACACCCAAGAGCCAAGAGTATACGGTGAGGGTACAACAGAGACTCTGTGTGTGCATGTGTGTGTGCATGAGTGTGCATGTTGGAGGAAGCTCTGAGATTCTATATCCTTGCCCCACCTACTGTGTAGACCCACTTACAAGGTAGCTCACCGTGTCTGCTTCGTGTTTGCCATTGAATACTCGAGCTCGGAGCTTCCTGCTTTGGCTGCCTGCTACCATGCCTCTGCACAGTTATGCTGGACTCTTATCCCTTTGGAACTGTAAGCCAAAATCAATTCTCCGGAAGTTGCCTTTGTGGCGCTTCATCAAGCAGCAGAAGCTTAACACACATACATTAGACAAGTGCTCTGCCCGGGGCCCTGGAGCTTTCCTTCTTTCTTGATTATCCCTTAAGCTGACAAGAAGACAGACTTTCATAGCTAAATATCCTAATTCAAAATTTAGACTTTTGTTATGTTCTTTCACTCCAAGAAGAAAGGAATAAGAGAAAGAGAAAGAGAGAGAGAGAGAGAGAGAGAGAGAGAGAGAGAGCAGCTGTAGTGCATACTTCTTAATCTACATTATTTGGGTTTCTTATGCCTCTACTTCCCTTCCAGCCCTTATCAGGATAAATATTACCTGAGAAAACAGGAATTGCAGAGCAAGCAGCTTCTAAACTGTAGAAATGTCAGAAGTTGCTGACTACCTGGACAATCACCAGAGGTTTCTCTGTGGCACTGGGGCATCCAATCTTCAGCACACTGGCCCAGACTATCCGACAGATTTATCTGTAAAGTAGGAACTTTGAAGGAGTGTCCTACCTTGACTCTGCAAAGCTGGACAGTCAATTTTCCAGTGCCGTGCTTGTCAACAGTTTGGACAGCCTGCTGTCAGCAGTCAGGGTAAGGGCAATGTTTGCCCTGTGTCTAGCCCTGCCATGTTTGAAGCAAACTCCAAGTGGAGGTTCTTTGGTGCCCATTGTCTTCTTTGAGGTAGATTGTAGGTGCCGCCAGGAGCAGATGTGTCTTCCTGTCAGAAAGACACATTATTATTGTTTTATTATTAAGGTAGCTTTAAATGCCATATTCTGTAGATATTTGAAGTGTGTGAAGATCA